ATCTCTCTGTTACGATAAAGTTTGAGTCTCAATCTATGCAATAACAGAGTTATTTTTAAAAAAGGATCAACAGAAACAGACTTCTATTCTTTCAAAAATCACGTGCAAAAATGGTGGTTATAGGCTTCGCGCACCATAGTAGTTACTTCTCTAAATCGGAAATCAAGTTCAGATCCATTTTATCACTTATTTTTTATTGCCAGAATGTTTGCCATGTATTGTAAAGTTACATTGCACTATATATATATGTAACATTTCAAATTTCCACTATGCTATCCACTTCAAAAAGAAAAAATTCTCCATTTTTCATAGAGCATGTGATTTTCAACCATAATAAAAGTTTTAGAGCTGGACTAAGAACCCTAATCTTATGGGATGGTACATTTGAAAAATACCCACCTTATTACCGTTTTTGAAAATAATTTACAAGATCATCACAAAATTTATCCTAATTAAGAAATGATATTCGATTTTGAAGCCATTTCTACCCAAAATTGAAATGTGCCATCTCCTAAGATAGTTCGGGAAACAACTTCCATTGTAGCATCATTGCTTGATTGAAGTGATATATTTCTCAGTGGAAATTTCCTTCTAACTTCATAAAAAATTATTGTTTAAAATAATTCTCTAAATTGATGTTCCATTTTACTATCATGTGAGCAGTATATTAGCTTTTATTATGTGTCAATTTGATATCTCAAGAAATACAATTTCATACATAGATGTTAGCCAAAATATTCTGCAATTCCCAATATTTTTTATATGAATGTATCTGGCTTACAATTCCCCATTTTTATTATTATGCAAACAGGCCTGATATTTTTGCTAATTATAATCTTTATGTTATAAAAAAATAAATTTGGTCAGATGTCCTTGAAGACTGTTTTTGCTGGAAAAGGTCCTCCCATACAGTGTTCAAAATTCGACTGTGTCTTAACATAAAACTAGTCTAAATTTAGAAACTATCTGCATCACATTTCCAGATTTGGTTAGCACATGCTGATTATGCTGATTGAATTTCGAACATTGGCCTCATATGCCTCATTTATATATACATGCAGCCCAAAGTATTTTGACACTGTCATAAAGGGGTTACACATGTAGTAAAGGGGTGTTACACTTATGTTTTTAATAGTGAGTGCTATAATTAATTTCTACTTTCTCTACTTTCTACCATCAAAATTGTTTTGACCATTGAAATCACCAAACCAATTTGGGCTACATGTATAGCCTCATTGAATCCAAGTTTCCAACTGGTCAATAAATTTCTTCATATAGAAAAATATCATTTATTTCCTCTGATTTAGCAACTTATTGTAAAAAAATAGCATATTTAATGATATTCAGGCTTCTAGAAATCTTTTATGCTCTAAATCATTTCTTATCCCTTAAATGGTTTTTCAGCTATTGATAGCTGAAATTTTTTTTCTGTTATAAAAAACTTTTTCTGAAGGTATTATTTCCTAATACGAAAATGATCTTTGAGATTCAGCTGATTGATCTGTGAATAAAAATTCAGTTGTTGTCCTTGTGGTTTTCGTAAAAACATCCTTAAAAGTTGGTTGATTGACTATTTTTACTTTGCAGATCGTGAAATTGGCCAATGAGAATGCAAGATCGTGATCAAAAAATTATTTTGTGTTACTACTAAAGAATACTTTGCCCGTTTAAGGGATAGATGATCTGCACTGTATTCCAATATTATTTTGTGAATTATTAAAGCAAAAATAATAATGCTTTTTTATATTTGGTAAAGTTCTAAAATGATCTTCTAACAATAAATTAAAGTCATACCACTTCCAACCTAGTCTATTATTATATCTAATTGACTTATTATATTTAGATGAATTATTTATAACTGTCTCAACATCATCAACAGTATTTATATGACTGGTCTTGTATAATTTTTTAATAGATCCAAATTTAGCATCACAAATAAATTTTGTATGTCCAGGTATCATAAAATTAAAACAATCAATCATTTCTTGGATTGAATCTGTATCGCCATCAGATGGTAAAATCAAATAATCTTCAATATTTTCTGAAGAAGGAAGGATATCAACTTTAGACCAGCATGAAACAATTGTACCAGGCGAAACAAGGTTCCATGCTTCTGCAGTAAAAGAAATAGCATCAAATATTGTAAGTTTTGGCACAGGTATTTGTTGATTGATCTTATTGTCATATGCATCAATTCTGTTTTGACATAAAATCCACCGATATTTTGATTTAAAGTAGTGTATTATTCCACAATCACAAGGCTGGAGATGGGAGGTAGTATTTGGAGGGAAATAGTGTAATATAATATTAGAAAGAGAAATGCCTTTTTCCAATGAATGCAATGTAGCATTATCTAGCAGAAGCAAAATGTGATGTCTTGCTTTTCTCATATCTTCATTTAATTTTGTAAGCTAATGATAAAACACAGATGATTACATCCAGGCACACAAATTCCAATAATAAAAAACAGGCAAAGTTTTCTTATCAATATTTCTTAAACATCTAGGGTCTTTATACTTATAAATGAAAAGAGGTGTTAATTGGATGTTCCTGTAGCATTACAGGTAAGCAAAACAGTAACTCAGTCCTATAGTCTTTTAGTGCCTGAAATTGGTCCACTAGCAAAAGTTTTGGAAGGTTCTAGCTTTCAGTAAAGTGCAGTTTCGTCACAATTGTATAAATCATCAAGATTCCATTGATTAAGAAGATTTTTGAGATTATCACAATATTGTGACAATTCCTCCAAAGGTGCGGAATTTGACTCACCACAATGAACATGTTCAGAAATATTGTATCATCTTTTAAATCTATCAAACCACCCATTTGATCCTTTGAAGTCATTTATCTGAAAATATTGGGCAAAAACTTTAGCTTTTGAAATAACAATATGCCCAGATAAATCACTTGCTGCCTGATCAATCCAGAGTGCTAATGAATTGTTCAATTTCTGGATATTTTGTTGATCTCTCATGATATGAATTTGCAGTGAATTGATTTGGATTCAATGATAAAAAATAATCACTTTTTTTTAGAATTTCAGAAATAGTAGATTCACCATCATTATATTTAAATGCAAGCTGATTATTTTTTATGCTTGGGTCTTTATTTTTTTCAATACATATTTCTATTTTTTGTGAGATTGTTATAGGTGTATGTTTTCTTTTTGATACCCCAACTTCTTTTTCAGTTGATTTTTTTTTTCCCTCTTGTTTGCACTAGAGGAAGGTCTATGATTATTATTTGCTATTTCCATGGTAATTTTTGTACATATGTGTTTGTATAATGTATATTATTATTATTGGTCCAATTTTTATTTCACATTGGTTTATAAAGATTAATCTTTGGTTTATAAAAATTCGGATTAACAGGACAATTTTACATATAAATGGCTTCAAAAAATTTAAAAATTTCTTCGGTTTACGGTTTATAAAGTTATATTAGTAACATTCATATTAATGGGGTAATTTACATATGTTTGGCTTTGGTGTTTTAAAAATTATTCATTTTAACGGGGTTTTCAGATTAACGGGGTTCGGATTAACGGGGTTGCCTATCAGTCACAGGACATTTCCCGCCGATCTATAGGAGGTTGTAAAACATAGTAAATTTGGATGATCTGCATCATAGTAAAATTCGAATTTACATAGTAAAATTTTATAATCGAATGTCTTCACACCCTC